GATGACAGATACTGAAGACTAACTGAAATGTACATGTACTCTGTGGATTTCTTAAATATAACATTTTATTTTGAATATGTTTTACATCATTACCACATCTAATGAAAAGAACAGTATTCATTGCCATCTTGCTTTTAATTCATGCATAACATGGGAAATTTAAATGATAGATTGTTTATGTGGTTTTCAATAAAACATAGCTCTTACTGAGGCTTATTACTTGAAATCAAATACTGCAAAGATAGAATGAGGATCCTTACATACATTGCTCCACCATGCCTTACTTTCAGGAGAGTTAGTACTGACTGAGGAGTAGCATGTCTCTCATTCACATCATTGCAAGCTCATAGTGCCACATGCCCAATTGTGCACCTCTGCTAATAGAGTCCAAGTATTAAGTTGATCATAGCCCAGAATGATGTCTGGGGAATAGGATTCTGAATGAGCTCCTTCACTATTTGAGCTGAGAGCTCTTTTACTGCTTCAGTCATTTTATGAGCTTCTATAATATGATGGATCATCCTTGCTAAATAGTTCCAATCAATACACCAGTTGTAAAGAAAATTCATTGAAGGAACATATTTAACAGAAATTATATATAAATCAATGTTAAACTGCAGTCAATTATATCACTATTCAAACCTACACAACCAGAACAATATTATTTGTGCATTACTTTAAGTAATTTACTGTACTGTATGCGTCTTTTCATATAGTTTGCAATACTATACAATTTGTTAGTATTTGTATTCTCAGTATATTTCAATTTTGAGTGTTTTAATTTATATTAAAAAGTGGGAACAATATTTCAGGAAAAGTATGTGATTTGGAAAATGGTAATTAAATCAGATTTATCATTGTAAGTGTCCTGTAGTTTTTTTCAAGGTAGACTGCAGTTAACAGGAGGGGATCGCTGTTGGTTCTCAACTTCCTACCACTTATTACTATTTCCAGCAAAAAGGAAGACTTGTGTCAGTTTCTATAACTTTATTTTACTAATACCAATAAAACCAAATGCTTTCATGCCAGTTTTGTTTATTATTAAGCTTAGTAGTGTTAAGAATTTGTAATAGCAGCTGGAAAAGCAGTTCACACTTGTTATATTTTGATAATAATAATATCTCATCTCACTTATAAACCTTATGATTATTATTAAGTGGTTTATTACACTCTGTGTTTATCAAACACTCTCACATTAAGCCACTGTGTTCTGCAAAAAAACAGTTTAATTCTTTACTTCTGAGTGAGGGTGTTCTGAAACCAGAAACTTCTTCACAAATTTTACACAGAGCAATTTGTGATAAGTTCACACTCTCTGTATATTCTTTTTATGTTTTGTGTTATTAATTTTACTTTACATTTCAGCAGCACATTTGAAATGTTTGAGGAGGAACCAGAATTATGAGGAATATATAACATTCCTTCACCTAATCAATATGTATTTTCAACATATGCATCAAAGGTGAGGGTGCCATATTTGTTGGTATATATCCATGAAAAGAGACTACAAAAATGCAAAAAAAAAGACGTTTCTGCTGTGCTTACAAATTGTAAAGCAAGGTCAACTCTTTCTAAATCTATGTTGACTATATCCTAGAATTCCATCACCAATACAGAGTGTTGCACTCCATAACCTTTTAACTTTCCAGTATGTGGGTATTACCCCCATTGTTGAAAGAGTTTTGTTTGTAATTTAGGAACAATGTCTTTTGTTTCCTTAATTAGTATTGGTAGAATACCATTATGACCTGGAAACTTGTTTGTTTTAGATGCACTATTAACTAGATTATTTAATTTTCTTCTGTTCTAATACCATAAGATATAACACTTTGTTTTTGCTTACTCTGAGGGATGTTCTCATACTTGGAGGGTATTTTGTTTGGTGAGTAATTATTCATTCAATTCACAATTTTCTAACATTTTCCAAATATAACATAAGCTTCGTCCTTTACTGTTATTTTGCTGTCACAATATGGAAAAAAATATTTATAATTTATCATACTTTATTTTAACTATGTGGTCTTATTAACCTTATCAAAAATAAAAAAATTGATGCAACTTTTTCAAATAAACATTTTAATGGAATAGGGATGCATTCACTTATATTTGGATAAAAAATTAAAGTTTAGTTAAATACATGGCTTGAATACAATACATGTGATGCCGCATTGTGTTACTGTAAAACTATTGGCTAATTTGAAAATGCTAAAACACTGGGAAAACACTTTTCATCCAACTGCTCATTTTTAACCCCCCCCCCCCCCAAACAAAAAGCAAAACAAAAACAACAACAACAACAACTGTACAATTAACCAATATAAGTTCCCCACCACATAATAATGTAAAAATAATTCTAAGGTTTCCAACACAAATTGATATGTATCACATGTATTTCCACTGGGTTTTATAATGATTAATATAAAAGTGGACCAGCAAGTTCTTTATCACTTAATTATTTTGGTGTACTGTAGATTTTCAGGTCAAAAATCAGGGTTCCTAATTTCCACATGCAGAGCAAAACATTTTTCAGACATAGCGTTGTCAAGAGCTATGGTGCCCATGTGTATTAATTAGTAGTAGACCTGGCTCTTGTTCTAGCACAATGGTAATATTTCCTTCTACAAAGCCATAAACCTACAGAAACAGCCATCTGTCTGCCTAATGTTAATAAACACAAAAACTTTCACAATGTGAATTGTTGGCGCCAAGGAAAGCTGAGGGAAAGGAAAGGGAAACTGTATAGGGAAAGCTTAGGAGAGAATGAAATAAACAGCTACTCTGTCAACAAGTCGTCTCATTTACAGAAATGAACAAATGGGTTGATAAGTGAGACTCTTGTGAAATCCAGCTGTGAAGTGGGGCTCAAAACACTATGGGCAGCAGATCGGAAGATCAGCTGGACTGTACAGAAGGTGAAAGTAGCAACTATTTTTAATGGTTTGATTAAACTATGTACTTAGCAACTTCCCAGCTGCTATCTCAGTATAGTACATGTAGTATTAGGATAATGCTCCCACACAGTAAAATAAAAATGCAAATGTAGTTTCATAATAGCTCAAAGTACCATATACAATTAATTGGTGTCGACTTTTTAATATGTTTGAAACAAATACAAATCTTAGGCCTTACATTTTTCCTGCTTCAATACACCCATGACAGAGTACTACTTTGCCACAGCATTTTTATTCTTTTATTTAAATAATAGTGCTCCTGTTCAAAAACCAATACAAATGTTACATAAGTTAATGCACTATTTTCCACAGCCTATATTTAAGTATGATAGAGTAATCTGTATTATAAATGGGTACACATAAAGTTCCCATATTCTTCAGATGCCCAGACAAGAGTAACAGTTGCCTGGAATACATGAAGGCAACATAAACATACCAAAGAGGTCAAGCCTTGCCAAACTGTATTAAGATTACTTGTTACTCATAAAAGAAGAGGTATTATATTCTCAAATGTGTGTTCAATTTAAAAGAGAGAAGGGGAGGAGGAAAATAAACATTTTCAGGCACACTTTTTCATCAGAGGAAACACTTTAGTGGATAAAAAGAGAAAGGGGAAAAAAATCATGTCAGCATAATATTGTTGATGATACACAACACTATATTTTGTTCCATAGATATTTTTTTTCTTTTAAACACAGGAAGAGGTATATTAGACACTGCCTGATTCACAGCTTTTCCTGAGTCAGCTACAGTGGTTTCTTTGAATACCTGTGAAAGGAACAAGCTGTAACCAGCCCGTTTATACCAGCTTCAATAACGCAGGCTTAAAAAGCCAGAACAGCTTATGCATGAAGCTGTTTACATAGTCAACATTCAGTGGGAAAATGTGTGTCTGCAGGTTCCACCATACTCCTTTACTGCTCCTTATTTGATCTTATAATTACAAATCCCATGGGTGCAGGTAAGGGGAGGTCATATGTTATCTTTTGCTTTATACTGCTTCAAGTAGAGATTTTGTTTGCCTTCATCTTTCAAACATCCAACGAAGTAACAATGCCATGTTTATTCTATTCATTGTTTTTGATTATTCAAAGTTACTCTTCATTAAATTCACCCTTAATCTACAGTTGCTTAGATTACACTTTTGTGAGGCCATATAGTCAATGCGTGAATCTTCATACATCCAAATTTGGAACACAGGTCCAAAGTTTTATGACTGGTGTTAAAGACGGTATGTTTAATCTATATACAATGTCTCAAACAAAAATATTAATTAACAATTAGATTAACTACTGTTACAAATACAACAATATTAATTTTGGTACAGCCAGACTGGCTCTTTTTCTCTGGACTCTTTCTTGTCTGATAATGTACAGTTGCATGATCATGAGTAGTGACCTCTGTGTCAAAAGGTTGGTCTCTATATACTGTGTAAACCTTTAAAATGTAAAATTACTGTAACTTTGATGTGCACAAACGCTTGTGTAGTTTTCACCAGGTTTCAAATATGCATTCATTTCTCTCATATATTTCTAGCAGATTAATAACTTTGTTAGGAAAAAAATAGTCTAACACATTAATAGCTTTTTTTTTGTTAATTCTATGCAGCAATAACTTACATTTCAACCAATTTAATTAACTTACAGAAGTATACAAAAATGACTTTATTACTTATAAAACAAAAAAGTCAATTATTAGATTTGTTAGCATTTAGGTAAGATAAAAAAGAATTTTACAATCTTCTGATGAGAGGTGAAATATGAATATTATATTTTGTGTGCATTTAATTTTAAAATATGAAACATGAATGTTTAAGAATGAAAGGTAATTAAACGAAATTCCTTTTTTCTGTAGGCAAACTTAAAATATAAAAATAAAGCACCGTGAAATTACTTAGACAGAAGTGCCCTCTAACTATAGCTATACCACACAGTTTATCATTTGGGAAATACTAAAAACAGGGTAGGGATTGTTAGATTTATGATGGAATTGCCTGAATATCTATGGGGAATCCTATTACGTAGTGTTGTAATAATGTACAGTACTCACAGTTATTTTTCCACTGCGGTTGGCCTCCTCTCGCTGTGCCAGGGCTTTCAGGAAGTTATCTTTGAGTTCTCTTCCTGCACTTGCCAGTGTCCTGGAAAAGACAACATTTGGGGGGTTTGAAAAGTGTCAGAAAAACCTTTACAATCACACACAGCAGTGCAGTGTTTTTCTTGTATTATCACTTGCTGGCAATTATTGTTCATTGGAACTATCTCACTTCATAGGTTTCAAAAGGTCACACAGTAGACTGCTGGTATGTACTTTTTTCCATGAGTCTCAGAAAGTCCTGGACAAGAGGCTTAATTAGTCTAAAAATAACACATCTTTACTGCTGGATCAATCACACTTGTCAGTAGATAAGAAATAAAAAGAGAAAAATTTGGTGGTTATGCAGTCCTGTATAACATTCATAGAATTATCATTTTTAATTTTATACAGTATCATGATACTTACATCATCTATGATTGATGATACAGTATACAAAATTATTGGTAATTGTGTAAAAATAGTAATAAAAATATGTAATTTTATTTTATATTTGAATTGTCTGTAAGTAATGATATATTAGTAATAGTAATAATTGCATTTTCATACTATAAGTTGCATTGTAATAATGGCTTCTAGAAAGCAGTATGCAAGAACAATGTTAATTCTTTATGTTTAATAGGGATATCTGTGGATACTACTACTGTACATGGAATTAATTTTTTTAACAAAGTTTTATTAAGTAACAGTAACACTGTTAACAGTTACACTAGGCAATGACATTAACAATTCAATAAATTTAAGACCCTTATAGTTGTTTTTTGTTATTATAATCAGACCAAAATAAACACAGAGATAACTTTCTTAGCCTCTCCAACTCACCACCCCAAACCCCTCTCTTTATGGGAGTTATATGTATTGTATATCATCAATAGCTTCAATAGCAATAAAAAATATACAGTATATTTTTTATACAGAATATAAGATTCTACACATAATATAAAACTGAATGTAATGTCAAGAGTCCTCTATGCCAACTCAAAGGTTACAATAATTGATAAAGAGATTATATTCCAGATTAAATATAACTCCTTCTTTTTGTACTTGCAATCAAATATACTGTACAGTAGGTGTTTCAAATTTACAATGGCCAACCGCAAGAGAAACTATTGTGCAATAGCTGAATTTTTTTTTATTCTTCCAGTTTAGGAGGATAACCTTCTTAGCTACTGCCATGGAAAGAAGTAAGAAGAACAAAGAACCCTGTTGGAGACATTGAATCCTGAAAGGTCCCTAACAAGGCAGATTACAGGATCTGATTACTCTGGTCCATTAAACTAGAGATACAATTAGTAATTTTATTCTAAAATTATTTTAAGAGGCATAGAATTCTAAAATGCAATTCAATAAGTTTCAGTTGTTTGCTTTGAACAATGTTGAAATATTTCAGATTCACCATTGCCCATTAAAAACATACTCCTTTGGGTAAAATTTACCCAATGAAAAAGGTTGTAATGAACTAACCAAATTTTAATATTGGAAGAAAATATAAAGTTGTTTGAACAGATTTTATGCCAATAATCATAACATTTATTTAATACACGGTCAATACCCCACTTATTATATGAACGAAACAATGAACCATCAATAGAAATAAACACAGCATATAGTTTAAAGACTATTTATTTTATTTCCCCCAATATTTCTCAATTATAATTGATGTCAGTTCAAGAGAAGTCATATTTGGACTTTTGATCGCATATAGAATTTGTTTGTATTTAAATAACTGAGTAGTTGGTAGAAACTACTCCAGAGTCAATTGATGAAAATAAATTAATTCTGGATTAAAGGAAAACATCAAAGCTATTTTTATATTTTGGGGTTAGAAAGAATTGTCATTGATGAATGCATCTCAAACTACAATGTACAATGTTCATATTAAAGAGAACAAGATCTTTTTACCTCTGAGATTAGCTTTGACTGTTTCCCAAAATATGGAGGAAGAACAGACCAATGAATCATTTCTTTTAAAAACAAAAACGAAGGCAGACTAAGAGAGATCCTAAAACTTACAGGTGCACAATCAGAAATTATTATTGGATGTACAGTATGAGAACCTGTGATATGTCAGGTGAATTATTCACAAGAAAGATATTAATACATGTATACATTTGAAACCTATTTAAATTGCAAACATTTGTCATGTTCTATCTCCAGCAAATGTGTTTCTTGCAAAAAAACACACCTCTGTCTTCATTTTCTCCAGCCACCTCATTATTTCTACTTTTTTAATAGAGGAATACAGATTGTGACATATAAGTGACATAAATTGTGAAATTGTGACATAAATAAACTATATTTTTAACAGCACTCCCATTAAATAATTGAGAATACAAAGAATTAATCAAGATAATAGAGAAAGGAGAAAGAAAGGGGATGAGGATAAAGAAAGTGGAAAGAACAAAACAAATAAAAAGGTATAAGGGTAAAAGAAAAAATAAGGCCCAAGACACAAAAACCACACACAAACAACCCACATATAGATGCCTATACACAATCATGATATAGAATAACAAAACAAAAAAAACTAACAAAACAACAAAGACAATAAACATAACCAGCAGATAGTAACACAACAAAACAAAAAAGGATTTTCAACAAGTGAATTAACCTAAATATTGTATCATACATAATAGAAGTCGATGCAGAACAGTTAACACTACAGTAGCCCAAAACCTAAATTATTTCTTTCACTCTGGGGAAGTTTTAATAATTAATAAAATGGCCATGGAGTTCATTTCTAATCTCTAAAAAGTTTACTTTATTTTGGATCATCTGATTCACCTTTCAGATATCCCTGTAAAAATTAAGTTGTCATGCACAGTTTGGAAATCCAAAAAGGATTCTTTCAAATTTTAGTTTTTCTGAGAAGTTATATCGACCTTCACTGTAACTTAGATACAGTAACCTTTATCTTATTGTTTGCCTCTTTGAGACCCTTGATCAGCTTGTGGATATATTCAAGGCTGTTTTTCAAAGCCTGAATAGCTCCTCTAAGAGGACTCAAAATATCATATAATTCCAATCTTGTGACAAGAGATGTAAGAAAATTTAGATTGATCATGCACACAAGTACATTCGCATTAGAATTCGTTTTAACTTAGTGGGGGGAGTAAATATAAAATTCTAGGATGTATCCTAATCACTGAGACTACAGCTGTTGATAAATGATTCAAGAGGCTTATTTTTATAAATTGCTTGACATGTATAAATTAAACACCTAGTGTGGGTTAACCAACTATACCTCAGACTGCAAGGTAGTCAATTTAATAACTGCTAATTAATATTAGGCAGTACTTATAATATAATAGTATTATATTATAATATAATATTATTACTAATTATAATATATTATTATATTACACAATCTCTGAGAACTCTGCATCAATTACATGCTAAACAAGTCTCACTTAACCATAAACCTGAGCACTTCACAAACTTCACTTCACAGAATTCTGTAACATCTGTGGCACGTTGGGAAATGTATTTTTTTTTGCAATGTATTCAGCTCATGCGCCAAATTAAAAACTACATGCTAAGAAGGAGACAACTCCTGTTTAATTTTAAATAGAACTTTAAAAATAAAATTGTTCTACTAGCTTTCGTAATTAATAATGCCTGAACCACAGCTTGAGAGATGGAAAGACAGAAATAAAAAAATGAATCCCTGAGAGCAAATGTTTGTGTGTCCTAGTGGTAAGGGGGAGGGAAAAAAGCACTAGTTTTCATGCATTAGGGGTGTTTTTGACAGTCTAAAACAGTTCTCTACAGCTTCTTAAGTTATATATTTGTATTGGGGACATACTGTTTCAGATACTAAACTGAGAAGAAAATTTAATAAAATTCATCAGATATCTACAATATATTACGTGGAATGAACTGGGTTTAAAAAGCCAGGAGAATATCCTGATTTGGGGCACAGTTTGTTTTAACACAGCATTGTCTTGCGCCTTGATGGTTGCATTGTCTCCTCTCAATTGGGGGTAATGGAAGTGGCCTGCTCTCTTTTTATAATCCTCGATGCATGAAGAAGCACAGACTTAAAGCTCTTTATCCTGTAAAGCTACTGTTGTCACGACCACCAACCTGCCTTGACCAGCCCCCAAGAGGACTAATCAGTTTCAGCAGCAGGTTGATAATTATAATAGCCGCCGTACATGTTAATTCAACATCAGACGCTTTACCGTGCGGCAGGCTGCGTTATTTAGGCTGCGTTATTCTCTTACCCATGTATCGCTGCTCAGTATTGAGTAAACTTCTCTTGAGCTCTACCTAGCGTTTCGTTACCTTTTTGTCTTCCTGGTATTTTGACTACACCTTTTTCGCCTTCGGACTACAGATCTCGCCTTGCCCCTCCGATTGTTTGCCACCAGTGTCGTTACCGGATTATTACCTACCATTCTCTTTTCGACCTCGATTCCATCTTACGGTTTGGATTGTTTGCCACCAGTGCCTTTACCGGACTTCGACCTACCTTTTGCCCTCTGACTACGATTTAGCTCCTTGTTTTGGATTGTTAGCTTCCTAACCTCCCAACTACTCCTGCGTCTGCATCGGATCCCTATCACCTCTTCAGTGTGTCATTACAACTGTAGCTACTGTATGAGGCTTTGGAGCAGTTTGCAACCATCTTCATTGATTTCATAATGCCACTTTGAGGCATAGCGGAAAAGAAAATTGTCAATAAAATGACCACTAGGCCAGCTAGAAACAAAATGAAAGCTCTTTTCAAAGACCAGATTTTTCTCTGGGTGACATTTAGTGTGGAGTTAATGTGTTTCTCTTCTTCTCTCTCCCACTTCGAGCCTCCTCAGTATGAGTGTGTGTGTGCTGTGCCCCAAATCAAGACATTCTGCTGGCTTTTTAAACTCATAAAAAATATGTTCTTCTCAGTTTCATATCTGATATATCCCTAATACAAATGGTAATGCACAATAGTGTGAAACTCTTCAATGAGCCAGACAGCTGCTAATCAATTGAGGTGCATCTCATTTGTTTTTAGGTAGCATAATGACAGGGACATTGTTTTCTGAATTTCATAATTCA